TATTAAGTCATATATACACACAAATGATTGAAAATTTGAGAGTGTTAGAGACGAGTAGACTTTGAGAATTTCCTAGTTGGTATATCAAAATATAAAAATGCGGTGTGCTTGGATATAAGTTTTTAATTGGATATTTTAAGTTCGATTTTTTTTGGTTAACCATAGATAATTTTGAAAATATTTCCTATGCTAGATTTGAATGAGATTTTGAGTTTGTATTAAAATAATATTTAAAATAAAATAATTCAAATTGATGTGATGTATGAGGATAATTGATTGATTTTATTTAATTATATAAATAACATTGAGTACGATTACAATTGTGTTAAATTTGAGTTAATTTTTTTTCTTCAAAACGGCAAACCAACAAATGCATTACTCAGAGAACGAAACAATTAATTATGTTCAACCGCAACCCAACTGTTAACATCCAATCAACTCTAAAAACACATAAATGGAGAGGATAAGACAACGGGAAATCAAAATTGACTTCCCTTAATAGCCGACATGGCTAACCGCAAGCTAGACACACACAAGCTTCCACCAACTAAAAGAGAACAAAGAAGAAAAACTATCAGCACATCTAAAGATGAATCCACCTCTAAAGCTCTAATGTTGTTGGAGTTTGTCATCACGCACGCAACATACAATGTCAGCCCACCCTTGCCCTTTTGTTAATTGAAGACTCCATTCATCTCCTCCAAACATCTCCTCAGCCACCCAAGATTTCAGCAACAAATCATCTCCTCCAAACATCTCCTAAAACACACAAGTGGGTTTAAAGTAAGAGTTATTGAGAACCCCAGGAGAATTCCATATTGATACAATCTGTCAGTCTCCAATTTGAAACCTAGCTCCTCATTGCAAGGAATCTCTAACCCCTAACCAACTTCTCCAAAGCCAAGAATAAGACCCTCCATGCTTAACCTCTAACAGCTTCTTACTCCAAAAACATATACCCTTCAAGACCCTACTAAATAAAAAGTTTGGCTTAGTGATTATCTCCAAAGTTGTTTAACCAACAAAGCTCCAATGAAGGCTTTGAGTCCAATATTGTAATAGTAATGTTCAAATTACCCTTAATGAGTCCAAGATTTTGACTTTTTTTAGCCATTAGATTATCCTATCCAATTGCTACCATTTA